TTATGTTTATTTTGACTATTATTTTTAACAAAATTATAAAATTATAAATTGGCCGATGTAAAGTGTAAAATTATAAAATTATAAAATTTGACGTTATAGTAGTGGATGTTATTATGCTTGTGAGCCATGAATAACCTCGCAATTGCACTTGCAAAGAGCTCGAGTTCTTCAAACGTGCCATATGCATCATATATATCATCTATAACTGATGTCATGGCTATTACTTTTGTCATCATCGTTCTAGCAAGGGAGTACTGGGGTTCAAAGTACACTCCCAAGATCCAAAAGTAATCTTCCACCAATCTATCTCGTATAAAAGGTAGTTTATCAGAGAACTCAAGGTCTTTCCACCACCTGAAATATGAAAAGCATTAGTATATAGTCCAACTCTAGCCTATAATTTGTTGTTGCACAATGGCAAAATCAATTACCTATAGATCTCGCTTATCTCCTTCTTGTGCAAATTCTGTAACAAATTGAAGTCCAATTTTGCGAACTTCAATAAAGTTTCATCACGCAAAGCACATGCTTGATAGATTGGAATGTATCTCCTAGCTTCCAACCTTGGCAAGTTCTTGCGGATGGGCGATTTTAGAGCACTAGCAACCTCTGCTGAGAGAGGGTACTCTACCACTGTTTCTACTAACCTTAAATGAGAGGTGGTGAAAGCAAGAGCTTCTTCAAGTATGTTTTCTCCATGGACTCGCAGGTGTGCAGCTTCATACAATTCTAGTAAGCCTCTCACATCACTAATTAAGGATGCCTTGAAGTTTCCTTTCTCATCTTTGAACTTATTGAAGGATTCTGCTCGAATCGTAAAATGTATTCGAAATAATATTAATAATTAAAGGGAAATGGAGGTTTTGTGGAGAAATCGGTCTCACTGATTAAAGAATAATTTTTTTGTCAATCAATTTTTTGAGATTTTTCATTTGGTAACTCAATTTTAAATACTTATAAACATTGGTAATCCAAACATTATTTTTTTCAAAATTGAGAAAAACACAAAAAAATCTTGAAATGTCAGGTGATGAAAATAGTAATTTACTCGAGAATAAAAAGGTTCTACAACAAGTACCTGAGCATTTGACTCATTGGTTAGTCTATGATCCCTTAGTTAGTTAAAGAGTAGGGTTTGAATCTCAGTTTTCAAATCCAAAAAAAAGAGGTTCTGAAACAAAGTAATGCTTACCACACTGAATTTTAACACCATGCTCTCTTAACAATCGAAAGCGAAGAGAAGTAATGTAGAGATCATTGCCATCACCGTTGCAATTACCATATATATTCTCTAAAGCATCTTCTATCTCTTTCTCAAAATGATGAGCCACACCTAAGCGTTGCACTGCATCAATTAAGTGCAACTTTTGGGATGGTTTATCCATAGGTGTGGTCAACATTCTCTTTACTTTTTGCTTCAATTCTTCATGTGGTTTAGTAGTAGGATCCATATTCTGTGAAAGTGCAAAATCTTCTTATCAATTACATGGATTAAACATTTTACCAAAAAAAAAGGAAAAGAGTAGTATACCATTTCAGGACATGTGCGAAAAAGATCTCTCCAAATGCTAGGAGGAAAACTGGCCAAGGGACGATTCTCAATCGACTTGGCATTATGATTATCAGAGGAAGTAGAAGCAGGTTTTGAACAAA